AATGAAAGCACATTCTGTTTTCCATACTCTTAATACAAGTGTAAATGGCCATACTACAGTTAGAAGTGAAACAGCATTGTTGTACTAACAATAAGAAAAATAACAATGATATAATGAAATATCAAAAAAAAGATCAATAAAAACATCAATAACAACACCTGACAACATGGAAAACAATTATGAAGATATCTATCTATCAATATCCCCCCCCTCATATAAATACAAACAAGGGTCTTCCTCTACCCATTATATAAAAGAAAGGAGAGAAAATAATGGGAAAAAAGTAAATAAAAAATAACATCCCTATCTATTTCCTTGGCTTCTTACTCTTATGAGACCTGTACACCCCTTGCATGCTGGCACCTGTTCCACGGAATTTCTTGAGGGACTTTCTGCTAACGCTCGTCAATTCCCGAGAGAAGGATGACTTGTCACCTTCCTGTGGGTCATTCTTCTTGAATCTTGCTGCACCTCTGTCTCTGTCTCTTCCTGCTGGTGCTATTGGAGACATTGTATATATTAGCATTTAGAATCAAGCAAAGGAGTGGAAAACATGCAGAGACCACCTGACAGGATACTTTACAGTACAGGACCTTTTCTGATTACTAAAACTACAACTATAGCCCCCCCCCCCCCCCAAAAAAAAAAAAAAAAAAAACATGCACACAAGCAGGTGCACGCACACACACACGCACGTACGCAAGCACTCATGCATACACCAACCCACACAAAAACAGGATATTTATTGCTACAACTGCATTTTTACCAATATAGACTTCATGATTTTTTTAAGAGGTAATATGAAACTATAAAAAGGCTACAGATGAAGAAAAAAAGAAAAAAGAAAGAATGAAAGAAATATAAAGAAAGAAAAAAACAATATGCCATAAAATCACCCTTACAGCATTTACACAGATTTACATAGGGTACTCACCTCTGAATTTCCCGTCTTCATCCTGGTCTCTGCATCGGAGAGACTTCATTTTCATTTTACCCTTTCCTGCCTTCCCTCCAACCAGTTTTGCAAGTTCCTGTTTCTTCTGCTGCTTCTTCTGCTTCTTTGTCAGTGGATGTGAAGACTCATCCTCTTCACCCTTCCTCTTCTTCAGTAACATTTCCTTTTGTTTCAGCCTCCCTGAAGAATGAACAGTGAACCAATTGGTGCCAGGGACATGAACTCCCACAGTTGTTTTGTTTTGTTAATTTTATATGCACACAGATGACTCTAAAAGTGGTTTAGTCACTTAGCAGATTTAC